ATCCCTATTCATGCTTTCAGAGTGGTTTCATCCAGGATGCCTAGAAGGACCAGTGCCCCCTGCCCAGGACAGCCAGCACAGCTCTTTGCCTCCATGGGATGACTCTTGCCGGTCACCCCATGTTTGCCTCCACACAGTGCTTTGCATGGTAGACTGTAAGCCTCTCTTTATATATCTGTTTCCCAGCCTAGACTATGAGCTTTTTGAGGGAAGGGCTAAGCTTTAGCCTTGGGCCTGCTTCCTCTAGGTCCCTGGACATCTGTCTTCATGTGTTTGGTGCTCAGTCCCTACCTTCCTTCAGACTGGCTCCCAGGCCCTGCTTAGGCCATATTCCTCCAATTCTCTGTAAGCGGTTCCTGTCTCCCAGTCCTTAGCTGCTGTGGAAATACTCCTCTACAATCTGGGTCTTGTTTCTCCTCTTCCTCCCACCGAAAAGCCTAGTGTCCTCCTGTCTGGGTGCCCCCAGGTTTCTCTTGCCTGATCCCTCACTGAGCTGTTGGGAGGCTGACAGCCTGGATTGCCTGTGGCCAGCAGCCCTGAATGGGGTCAAACTGGAACCAGGCTGGACTTTTATGCTGAGGACAAGACCCCTACCTGCTCCTCACCACATTGAGACCGGGCCAGGCACAGAAAAGACATCCCCGCCATGCACACGTACTCCTGCTCTCCCTTCTGAACCTCGGTCTCCTGATAGTTCATCTCCTGAGGTTGACGGGAGGGTCCAGGGACATCACTGAATGTAAAGAGGTCTGGGGAAATCTTATCCAAATGGCAGGGATTATAAAGCCTCACTAACATTTTCCATCCCTCTTTGGGATAGCGAGGTCCAAAGGGCAGAAATAGTATAAGAGGCATGCAGGGGTCAGCAGAAACCTACAGGAAAGTCTCATTCTGCAGATGTCAATGCCAAGGCAAGCTGAAAGTATTGCTCAAGGGTCCCAGAACCTGGCTTGCTCCATACCAGGGCAAACAGAAAATAGGACAAAGGGTGTAAGGAGGAGTGGCCAAGGGGATGAAGGAGGGGGTGGGGCCTGAAGAGGCTGTGGGTGGGGAGGGGGCTGAAGCCAGGTCACATGCACCTGGGGGTCAGCTCCCTGAGACACCTCCTTTGTTCTCTGAACATAGTCCCTACTCTGAGCCTACCTTGGGGGTGGGACTCATTCATCCTATCAGCAAAGGTTTCTGGTACTGAGTGCCAGGACTATGGAAATGAGTCAGACACAGAGAACTCCTGACCACGAGGACTCACAGGGAGAGAATGCAGAGAGGAAAGGAGCTAGAGCTATCAAAAAAATAATCTTTTCAGGAACTGGCACGTGAACAGGGCTTGTTAGAGAGTAGATGGAATGGACAGGACTGGGAAGGACATTTCAAGTCAGAGATCCAGATACAAATGAATTAATAGAAGGATCTAGCTGGAACAGAGAGTGAGAGAAGGTCGTACCTTAGAACAAGGTAAAGCCTTATGATGGCTCAGCAGTAGCACCAGTTGTGGGGACCACCTCAGGAAGCTGAGGTGCTATTTATTTCACATCCAAGAAACCAAGATGTCCAATGTGACGGGTGGCACCTTTGATGAATACACCAAATAACTTACCCTCAAAAATAACTGCTTTGTGTGTCGTGGTCCCCAAAGCCTACTGTTCTAGAACCACAGCAGGAAGTGCCAATAAGGGGTTCACTGACCTGTAAACAAGGGCTTCCTGGGTGGCTTAGTGGTAAAGAATCTACCTGCCAAGCAGGAGATGAGCATTCAGTCTCTGGGTTGGGAAGATCTCCTGGAGAAGGAAATGGCAACCCACTGCAGTATTCTTGCCTGGAGAACCCCAAGGACAGAGGAGCCTGGAGGACTACAGTCCATGGAGTCACAAAGATTCAGACATGATTACTGACTCAAGAACAGCAGCAGCAGCACTGTAAATTGAAATCACCTGATCCTTGGTCATTTGGGGTATCTTGTATGACTAGGAAAACAGGCCCAAAAGTGGGCTATGGTGTTGGTAAGTGTGCCATTTGAGGTTCTTAATTACAAACAACAGAAACCAACTTTAGTTAATTTGAGCAGAATGGTTTTATTGGAGAGCTATGGGGCAACCTGGGGAACTGTCAGAGAGGATAGAGGGTTAGAAACTGGCAGGAACAAGGGAAATGGGCAGCCAAGGGCAGGGCCAATCCTGCCCCCTGGGCCACCACTACCCTCAGCACCACAGCAGCACAGGAGCAAATGCTTCAAGACCTGGGCTCCTCTGCTTTCACCCCTCCAAACAGGCATAAAGGTCTTTTGTGCTGCAACTGAGGTGTCAGCTTACACTGTGTGGGCCCTGGGCCTGGGTCTCGGCCTTGTTGGTGTCTCCAGTTGGGAGAGTCTCACCTCTGGCATGACCTTCCACAGTGACAGGCTCCTCAGACAGGCCCTGGGGAGAGGTCCCTTTCCATGGATGTACCAAGGCTGACTAAGGGAAATTGGGGCTGCCGCTCCACAAGGAGCAGGGAGGAAGGCAACCAGGACCTAAGGGGGTTCTTAACACATCTCCTTGTGTGATGCCAGTCAGAGTACCACAAAGGTTAATGTTAGGCCAACTACCACAACCCCACCCAATGGGGGCCCCCAGGGTCGCAGACTTCTGAGACACCATGACAGCTGAGGTGCTGGCTGAAGGCCAAGGGGGAACACAGAATGACTGGGAGATGAAGTTATAAATAGCAGCTTGACCAGCTGCAGGAAAAAAGGACTGTGGCTTTCACCACAGGTTTCCGTGCTTGCAGTGAGAGAAAAATCCTTTATTTTTTATCAATTGAAAACTTTTTTGGTTTGACTTATTTTGTTAACAGTCATGGAAAAACACTGACACAGAAAAAAATATCAAGCAGATTAACTTTAAAAAAAAAGCCCTATTCCTTACTACTTTCTTCCAAGCCCCTTTTCCTCCCCAGAGGCAACCACTGCCATCAGTTAGGTTTGCAGCCTTCCAGACACTTTTATGCATTTTCATATATAGTTTGGTTTTGTAAGGTTTTATTTTATCAATACATCAAGATTGTACATATTGCTCCATGATATGCTTTTTTTACTTAATATTATGTCTTGGAGATCTTTCCATATCAGTGCATACCATTTTTAACTGCTGCATAGTATTAACTCCATACAACTAAAATATCTAATTTGCTCTCAGGGACATGCATCACTTTACATTTTGAAACCAAGCTACTCCCCAAACTGCCCTGAAAAGGCTGCTATTGTTACATTCACACCCACAGCACAAGTGCTGCCATTTCTTCTCTTTGTAGCCCAAACTAGATATTATCATGAAGAAAAACTATCACTTTCTGATGGACACAATCAGTTTCATTGTTGCGTTAATTTACACAGCACTGATTGCCAGTGAGGTTGATCACTAGCAAGAGCCAAGCTGTTGATGCTGAAAACAGCTCTCCAACTGTTGGGAGGAGTTTAAATTAGTACAATCACTTAGGAGGGCAGTTTGGCAATATCTAGTTAGAATGAAGATGCTCTAACCCTAAGATGCCCAAATTTTACCTCCATGTACTTACCCCTAAAGAAATTCACACATACATACAGAGGAACATCTTTTAATTATGTTCACTGTTGCAAAACACTGGGAAGAAACTAAATGTCCACCAATGAGAGAATAGATAAATAACTGTGGTAAGTGTACAATGGAATATTTAGCATACAGCAGTTAAAAGGCAGGTATCAAAATGACTAAATCTCAGAAACAATGTTGAGTGAAAAAAATAAAGCTGCAAAATGATACATTTTAGCAATTATGTCCATTTAAAAAACTCTGTATTGGTTATGGAGATACATACACACATATACATATATATGTACACAAATACACATGCACGCACACACTTCAAAAATGGTAGACAAGAAGTAAACACAGCATTTCCTGGATAGTGCTTACCTCTGTGGAAGAAGGTAAAAATAACAGGTGAAGTTCTTCACCTGTACCTGAAAATGTATATTCATTGGAGAGAGAGAGATATCTGAAGCCAATATGGCCAAAGGTTCAAACCTGTTCATTTTATGTGGGTGGGTACCTCTGTTTTTCATAGTACTTGTCTGGCATATATTTCTCTGTTGCTTTTGTGTCACTGTGTTAATGTATACAATCAGCATACAGTTTTAGTTTTTACCCATTCCCTCTGAGACTTGCTTTACTTTCTGAGACTTGCTATTTTCTAAAAGAGGATTTTAACTCCTTCACCTCTACAGTCTGTTTGGATATGTTCCTACCATCACTATTTTTACTATGCTTTTTCACTGTTTCTTTCCTTCTCATAGACTGACAGAATATTCTTTACTCAAACTTTGCCCCTTTAGTAGTTCAACAGCCATACACTTTACTCCTACTTTTAGAAATAATTACCCTTACTTTTGTTGTTGTTGGAGTCAGTATTTCCAATGAAACTAATTTTTTTCCCTAGTGGGAACACCAAAAAACCCTATTTTGGAGGCAAATGCAAGAGATCAATTATAAAGTCACTTAGTACCACGGTTTTAGATGAAACCAAACAATTCCACTATACCATGTAAAACCAAAAGGAGAACTTTAATAAGCTTTTACGGCACTGCAATTACAGGAACATTAACCCATAACATGCAACAGAAATGATGATGCCTCTTGGACAAATTTAACAGATAAACTTGACATTACAATCAACAGCAACATATTCTACTGAAAAAAAAAATGCAACATTTCACTGCTCAGGTTAGAAAGTGCATCTTCTTGCTGCAATCTCAAGTAGCACTTAGAAAATTTGGTTTTCCCTTTCTAACCTCTAAAACACAGTATGATTTTTTTAATGCAATCATACACAATCATTTTCACACTGGAAATAATCACAAGGAATCAACAGGTGAAGATTAATCAACTGACTGATTTCACTGCAATGGTTAATTTGGAGAGGGCTCCTGCAGTATTGTGGATTTCAGATGGGGAAAATCATCAGACCAGGAGTAAAAAGCCTTGGTCTTAAAGTGGGGGAGGGAACATGCAGCGGCACACGGGGCAGGTGCCTGACTTCTGAAGCCAGATGGACACACAAGGCTTGTGGAAATAGTGATGGCATGGAAGCTCTGTCGCCACCTCCCCCTTCGCATATTCACTGCAACAGATGGGGCAACACATCTCCTGCCCCACCGCACTGTGATCTTCCGTGATCAGGATCTCAGGAAGAGTGTCGATGCTCTCCTTGCTGGCTGGTGGATTGGCCACCTCCACATCCACCGCCAGAGACTCCAAGTGTGCCAGGGCAGTTTCCATTGCCTGGGCCAGGCGTTCTTCAAGTGCCATGTATGTGAGGAACTGAGGATCCACGTAGGAAATGGCTTCGGCTACCCCCAACCCATCCGCAAATCCATCGAAGAGGCTCCAATCCACTTCGAGGTCTTCACTGACACTGGAGTCATCTTCAAGGTTGTTGTTGCCATCCAGCATGAAGACACCAGGCTGCAGAAACTCCTGACCAGAATCATTATCCCCCTCACTGCTGCTCTCGTTTTCATTGTATTGGAGCCAAGGAACTTCTCCTTCTTCAGGGGATGCCCTTTCCTCTTCCTGGAGAGATGGCCCTCGAACTTCTTCAAGTTCATTGCTGCCACTGCTGCCAGCACTGGCACCAGCACTGGCATTCACTCTGGCTTGCTCGGCTTCAAGCTCTTCTTTTCCTGGCAGAGTCTCCCAGCTCTCACCGCTGGACGACAGATTTTGCTCCCGGCCATGATACTTGCGACGCAGAGCCGCAGTCCACTCTTTGTCACTGTCAGAGTCTTCTTCAAAGTATTTGTAGTAGTCATCGCTGTATGTCCAGAAGTCGGGGTCGGCCATGGTTCGTCGCCGTCTAGGCACCTTTTCGGGCTTCACTTGGTCACTCCTGGCTTCCCTCTTGTCTTCAGGGTACTTCGGCTCAGGGTAGCCACTTGAACCCTCACCTCTGCTCCTTCTTGCCAGGCCATCCAAGTGGCCTTCATCAGCGCTGGCAGTCTCCCTCCACCTGGAAGTGCTATGTGGCATATCATCATCATCATCGGTATCAAAAAAGATTTTTGGTTTCACGCAGTTGGGACTTGCCAGATTTCTAATTTTGGGCCTCACCACTGGTTCCTCTGCACTCTTTGGAGTGTTTTCCCCACCACAAATACTCACAGGAGCCCTGCTGGGACATGCAGGTAAATTCGGCTCCTGTCTCTCCCTCTCCAGGTTGTTGCTGTTTGTGACCACCTTGCCTTCAGCAGAAGACGGCTGAGAGGCCATGCTATTTGGCTGCAGGAACTCAGCTCTGCTAGCAGAGGACCGTGCTGCAGGGGCTGGGTCTAACTTCTCAAGCTCCTCTCTCACGTCATGGTTAAAACTAGAGAACTGAGAGGCCACCCCAGCCAGAGACCTTGCCCCCTTCTCCGGGTCATACAGCTTATCATCTTTAAACTTGCCAGTTTTCCCTCTCACTGGCACTCGCTCAACAGGCCCAGCCCCCTCCTCCTCACTATCATCTGCCCCGAAACAGTCAACATGTCCATAAGCCATTCCTCTTCTGCTCCCCGAAGCCCTGTACTCTCTGGGCGGGTACCTGGAGTAGTCCTCATTATCAGCATTCAGGCTGGTTCCTGAGCTCTCGCTGTCATCCCAATTACGACGAGTGGTGGAAAATGGTGATCGGCTCCTCTTGGTGGTTTGACCGGGGGCTGATCTGTGCATTGGGACTTTGGATGGCGTCTTTCTCTGGCTGGAAATCCTTTCTTGCTGGCTCGTGGATGGCCTGAAACTGACATAAGCATGCCTTCTTCCATACCTCCTGCCTGTATTGGACTGATACCCTCCTGCTGGCTTGGGCCAGATAGGCTTGCTAGATTCCTGACCCATTTGCTCTATTTAGGAGGGTTTCCAATATTATTGGGGATTGAGTGGGAAGGCTCCTGCTCCCTGCACACACTTTGGAGATGGAAAGGTCAAATCAGTTCAGAATAAAGGAGCAGGGAGATTTATTTTCACTTCAGCAGGTAAAAGAATAAAAAAGAATAAGGGGCCTTTAAAATTAGTTTCACTTTCTTCTAAGGCCTGGAATAGCATTCAAGTGACCGTCAGGTGTAGACCTGGAACACATTTGTAATGTTGGCAAAATGCTTACAAAACTGGGTTTGTAGGAAAGCCAGACTTATGGGAGAATCTGATGGAAGATGGATGGTGACTGGACGTTCAGAAGGTGGGTGAAACACTGGAATTGTGCCAACATGGGAAGAGGAAAGATGGCTGTGGTTTTTTTTATGGGGTGCCTGCATTTTTCTGAGCCCTGTAGACATACAGAAGAAATGCAAATTGGAATAGAGTGGAAAATATAGATCACCATCACTATGTATGTGAGAGTGCCTAGTGTCTGTCAGGAGGAGCAGGACAGGTGGAAGGGGGACCAGCAATCATGAAAAGGAAAGATTCCTGTGTTTGTAGAGGGAAAGGGCTGGTGACGCACATGGGAAAAGGCATGACTGTTGGGCAAAATCAGACCCATTGTGAATGTGGGTATGAAAATGACAGGCATGGTGTGGCTTCAGAGGAGAGGGGCATGTGAACGTATGATAGAAAGAGAATATGCATGTGGTTCTGATGTGTGATGGCTGGAGCTCTAGGGAGGGATGCCTATGTTGATGTGTCTGTGGCAGGCCAGGAGTATAGTGGCATTGGATGGAGCGTCCTTCAGTTTGTGTGTATGTTCATCAAAATGGGAGGCAACAATAGAGAAGTGTCAGTGTGAACAAATGCATCAATGGGGAGACAGCACTGGAGAGGGACATGCATGTGGCAGGTGGGTGGGCACCAGCAATCAAAGAACATCTGTATTCATGGATGTGGCGACAGGAAGGAGGGATGTTCCAAGTTGGGATTTATGTGAATGTGTGTGTGTGTGCATGGCAGGGACCAGTGAAGGAGGCTGTCTCGACATATGTAGCAGACAGGGAGCACCTGAGAGGGGTACGTGAAAGAGCGTGTGGGTGAGTATGCATGTAAATGGTGTAGGAAAAAGGAGCCAGCAATCCAAGGATATCCTTATGTGTGTCAGTGGCAGGCAAGGGGTAAGGCCTCACAGAGGGCGTGTGTGTGTGTATGTGTGTGTGTGTGTGTGTGTGTTGTGTTGTATGCTCACTAGAGCATGCAGAGGCACAGGGAGGAGGGGAGGTATGTTTGTGGAAGGTGGTGAGAGGCAGGAAAGGCACCGGAGGGTGGGAGGCTGTGTGTCTCTCAGTCATTCTGTGTCTCTCTCGGGGGAAGGCACTGGGGAGTGTGACAATGTCTGAGAGGGTGTCTGTGCATGTGTGTCCAAGCATGGGGGGGGGAGGGGACACTCAGGAACCTTGAGTATGGGGGGCAGCGGTAAGGCAGCTGCATTGGAAGGTTTTGGGCATGCGTGTGTGCGTGTGTGTGCGCACGCACGCGTGCGTCCGGGTGCACACACCCGTGTATGTGTGGGCATGTGCGTGTGTGTGTCCCGGTGAGTGCACGCAAGACACTAGGATGGGAGGGGGTCCGCAATGTCATAATGAGAGGGGGAAACGTTTATCAGCTCAAATGATAGATCCAAATGGTAGATCCAAATCAATGTGGCAGGGAAGAGGGAAAAAAGAAAGGGAGTGTGGGGATACAGCTATCCCTGGGAATGATTTGTTTTTCTGACAGCATTTCTTTTCCTGGAACAATATATTTGCCTAAAAACTTCATCCTTTACCATTCATTAAAACAACTGCAAAATGGGGAAAGAAAGACCACGAATCGCTCCACAGAGGAGCCAAGAGGGGAGGCAGGAGGAGAGGGGAGGACAAGCAGAGAGGGCCGCGACCACCACTCCCCTCTTGAACAGCGACTCAAGCCGCCCGAGCGGGGGCCGGGCCATACGTAAGGAGCCAGGGATGGAGGATGAGTCCTAAATCGGGCCAATGGAGGACACAGGCCTCCCTCTTTGGTCAGGTCCCGCGTCCGCCCCACCCCTTTCCGAGGGGTGAGCCCGAAAATCTGTTCGCTAGAGCCCCCCACCCCCACATCCTTACCCTGGTGCCCGGCCACTCGCCCTCATGCTCGGCCACTGGCCCCACCGTCATGTCTGAAGAGGTCGAGGAAATAAAGTCTTTCACTCACCCAGTCGCGACCCCGCACGCTCTCGGGAAGAACAGATCTCTCGGACCTCCAACCGCCACGACCGCCAGAGCCGCTGCTCCCGGGGCTCCAGCTCCTCCCCCTCCAGACAGCAGTGGGGCAGGCGCGACTGCGGCGGCGGAAGTGATTGTGGCGTCGCGGCGGCCCGCCCCCTTGATGTGGCGGGGGCGGCAGCTGCTCTCAACAAATCAGGGTGGGCCCGAAAGCATTATTTCATTTGAAATGATGAAATCGTCAAGGATACCGAAAAGGACAGCGAAAAATGTAACCAACAGCCAGCTGTAACAAATGTTAAACATTTAGTCACATCCCCTTCTGTTCTGGGGTTTGCATGGTTGCTGTCCTTGCTGTCTGATATAAAGTGAAATCTGCAAATTCCTTCTGATTCATTCCGATGTGAAAGTAATCATATTAATGTACCCTATCCTATGTTCTGTATTATGGTTTGTAGTGGAAGTATCACTGTATTTAGGGTTGCGGTCAACAGAAAATTTTTTAACGTGGTGGTTGAAGCAAACTGAACTGTTTATCATACAATTTGTTGCTGTTAATCGAGCTTCTCTATCCAGAAGAAATGATCAGTCACTGCAGCACAACATAGCTTCACATTCTTGTAATTGCATTGCCCTTTAAAATATTATAGCTATGCCTTTTGGATTTACACAATTTTACCGAACTCCAAAGTCTTTTTTATATATTGCGCTTTACATGTATCTCTGATACTTGAATCAAATGTAAGACTTACCTTTGTTCATGACAATAGCAAAGCTTTGTTCTTTACTGGGAATAAAATGCATAATAGAAGAACAAGGAGTTTTAGGGGTAATAACAGAATAGAAATAGGATGTATAACTTTCAAACCATTGAAGAAATAGCATGTAGAACAAAGAAAAAAATTCATTCTTACAAAACGCAGAAATGGGATGAGAGGCAACAAGAAAGTATGTTAAAAAGGGAGGGGGGGCAGAAATAAATCCAGATATATCAGTATGTACTATGGGTTAATGTCTCCCATAAAAAATGTAAAAGCAAACTCTCAATTTAAGCATTTAGTTTTCATAAATCCAATTATATGCTGTTTATATGTTTCACCTAAGGCAGAAATAAGAATGGAAAATATATTTTCCAGTGAAATACCAGCAGAAAAAAGGGAAAGAAAAAGGTAGAGAAGGAAGGATGGGGGAGGGGAAAGAATAAATTTTAGAAAGGAGAAAAGAGAAGGAAAGAAGGAAGGAGACATGTAGCAATGTTAATATCAGAAAAATTAAGAACTCAAAGTAAAAAGCATTAAAAAAAATCATGTTGTTTCATTCACCAAGAAGACATAACCACTAAAATTTATACACCAAATAATGTAATTTTAAAATACATGCGGTAAATATTGCTAGAAATATAGAAATCAGAAAGTCTGCAATTATAGTGGAAGACTTAACCACACTTATTTTGGTATAGATAGAGTGAATAGACTGCAAAATAAACAGAAGTATAGAGAGATTTCACAATCCAATTAATAAGCCTCATCTGATGTATATGTATTTTTGTACTCAAGAAATAATGTATTTTTGTTAAAATATTTAAAATATTTCAAACATAAAGTACAGAGAATAAAATGTACATTTGCCCACATGTACTTGCTACACAGACCAAGCATATTTTATTCTGTTTAGATCCTGAGATTTTTCTGTTTTTTAAACAAAAATTATGGTTGAATCTCTCACTTTATCCATTCATCTTACCTCTTTTTCCCAAAAAAGAACCATTTGGATGTCTCTTTCTTGTGCATGCTTTTTCTTTTTTCATATGTATGTATTTATTTCTTACCAATATATATTATTGTTTCATGTATTTTACATTATGTGAATAGCATAATAAATACATCCTTTGGAAACAAATTTTCATTTAATATTTTTTGGAAGTTAGCAATTTGATTCATTTAGATCTAGGTCATACATTTTAACTAATGAATACAATTGTATCAATTTTCCAATATGATATTATGATAATATATCATTGTATGGACTTCTGTTACATGGATTATCTAATTTCTTTATCTTTTTGCCTGCTGATGAACTTGGATTGTTCCTGTTTTGTGCAATTATAAGTGAAGATTTAATGAACACCTTGGCTATGTCTCCTCATGCCCATATTGAAGAGTTTCTCTGAGGCAGTACTTTGCAACTGGGTAATGGGGTTTCTGATATATTGATTCCCTTAGCCCTCTAGAAAGATGGGCCTGGCTTTATCCAGCTGCTGCCCTGGGGCTGTTCCCTCTGGCTAAGAGTAGGCTGTCTCTTCATTCCAGTGAGCTGGTAGAACTGTAGTAGCATTTTTAACATGCTCTGATGTGGAAAGGATTGGAAAAAGCTACTTTAGTGTATGTGTTTTGAAGTAGAATTTCTGGGTCAAAGGATATGTAGTAGTTAACTAATGCTGTGTAACAAATTGCCTCAAAACTTAGAAGTTTAAGACAACAGACAACTATTACATCACAGTTTCACAGGTCACAAACCTATACATGGTTTAGCTGGGTGCCTCTGGCTCTAAGTCTCTCATGAAGTTGCACTCAAGCTGTCATCTGGGCTGCAGTCGGATTCGCAGGGAAAATTGTTGTAGGAGGTCCACATCCAAGGTCTTTACATGGCTGTTGGAAGGCCTCAGAAGATCCACTGCCAAGCTCACTCATGTGGCTGCTGTCTCGCTTCAATTCCTTGTCATGTGGG